CGAGCGGAAGGAAGCAGGTCCAGAATGGGCTTGCCCCCCAGGAAGGAGGGGTTCGTCTGGCTGCGGAAATCTATCATGCGCGCGCGGTAGCTGGAAGGTTGGAGGGAGAAGAAGGCCCAGCCAGGGCGGGGGCAGACCGCTTAGTGAAGATTGTGGAGGAGACAGCTCTGCGCGCGGCATCAGGATATAATAAGGCTGACCTGCTGAGGGGGTTATGCTCCGCCCAAATGGAGGTAACTACCTTGGCAGGGGCCCTTCTTAGGAAGGCAGGGGCTGCCAAGTTAAAGGCCGAAGAGGCCAAGGCACAGTTGGCCAAGTTAAAGAAGGAGAGTGCTGACTGGAAAACTGCCCATGCTGAACTGCAAGGGTGACTGAGCGGGAGAAGCTGACCGTGAGGGTGGCCGAGTGGGAGGGGTCGACCGTGAGGCATGCCGACCGCGAGGGTGGCCGAGCGGGAGGGGTCGACCGTGAGGCGTGCCGACCGCTGGGGTGGCCGAGTGGGAGGGGGCGACCGTGAGGGTGGATAATGCAGTCCGTCCCGGGTGGATGGGTCGAGCTGGTCCAAGCTCTTCAAGTTCCAGTTTAGGGTGATGATTCCGCCAAATGACCTGCAAGCAAGTCCAAAGGGGAACGGGACAGTCCCCCAGTGAACCCTCCGGCGAGAGAATCAGTAGAGGAAGAAGGAAATGTAGAGAGAGAGAGAGAGAGGGATAAAAAGCTTAACCTTCCTCTTGTCTTCTATTCTTGCTTATATCCTTTGGTAATCATTTCACTGTCCCTTATGACGTGCCCCCTTCCGCCGAAAGCCTGTGCCGTAGCTTACCTTGTTCAGGGTGAGGGGACTCTGTTCCGACGGGGAGGTGTTGTCGTAATAAATGCTGTGATGGGCTGCATTAATGGTGATGTGTTGTGGTAATAACTCTGCAGATCTTTGTCTGTTGATGTGGCCTCTGTTCCACCCGCCATGTGCCCGAATGCCATTGGCCCTCCATGTCTAGATGGCCTCCAGCTGTCCTGGGCTTTGCCAACCGGGTTATGCTATTGGTCCCAAGCGATGGGTTTGGGGTGGTTTGCTATTGGCCGTATGCCTTGTGGACCTATCCATGTCACATCCCAAACAGATAAGGGCAAAAACACATATGACGAGGAAAAACAAGATGCAACTGAGATGTCATGTATCTGTACTTATTCATAAAAAAAGTACCCAAACAGACAGAGAAACGAATTGATGAAGGTTGAATGATGTACCCAAACAGATAGAGAACTTAACAGAGTGAAATCAAGTAGTCTTTTTATAAAGAAATTTTTTGCTGGTCGTGCACGATAGGATACCATGGAATTCCAGTTTTCTGCTGGTTTTTTCTGTTATGAACGAAACTCACCGGAACAAGGCGAGATTTGCCCCATTTTTCTTTTGGTACAGTACGTGCCGTCCGGTACAGAATGGGATTGACGACTTTGCCATGGAGAGAGAAAAATAAAAAAGAAATGGTCAGATAAAGTACCTAATTTTTGTGTTGATGAAATACACAACTATCTTACAAAATGAACGGTTCAGATTATTAAAACGAGACTCGTGATGAACTTTACAGATTCAAACAACGCCTTCTAATCTAAAATCTGAACTGGCGTGAAACCTACACCATAAGTAAACTATTATAATAAGGTCTAACTTTCCTGGACCTTTCAATGTTAACCTCCAAATTTTAAAGTTGCGTTTGGTAAAGTTTTCTGAATATGATTTGAGAGTAGGAGTTATATTTTGAGTTTGTAAGTTTTGAATTATGATTTGAATGCGAAAATTTTGTTTGGTAAAAGAGTTTTGAAATGAGTTTTGAGTTGAGTGGGAAATTTTTAATGTGCCATATGATATTTGATACAAAAACTTACAACTCATAACCAAACATACAACTCAAAATTCTATTAAAGCACATAAAAAATTATAAAAAAATTCGGAAATTTTTTTTTAAGTGATTATATAAATTAACATATCAATTGCAAAAATATATATATATATATATATTTGCACTGTTCCGGTCAACCGACCAGATGACCAGTTAGGCCAAATTAAATTTTTTTTTTTTGAAAATCGCGCTTTCAGACAGAGTTTTCTACTGAGTTGTAGAAAATTAGTTCCACATACCTATCCAAACATCATATTATAATGTGAGAGTAGAATCAACGTTTGGAAATCATTCCAAACATTGCCTAAATTTTTTATTTAAGCTCTTAGAGTTTTATAATTACATTGATATAGATAAAAGTATCACATTTTGTCAGGTAAATGTAAAATAATTTTAAAAACTTTGATAAAATAATTTTTTTTTGAATTTTTTTCTTTTTTTTGGGGGGAGGGAGGGAATTGACAAAAAAAAAATTAAATCTATCGGTAAAATTCTGAAAAAATATAAACTATAAATCTATATATTTGTATACCCTAATAACATAATTGACATTCATTCATGAAGGGTGGGATGTAGATATTAGATAAATATACAACAATGCTAGGTAGCTCAAAATTGTGTGGTTCAAATGGCTCAAATCACTCAAAACGACGTCGTTTTGACAAATTTGAGCCACAAAATTTTGAGCTACCAAACATTTTCCATAAATATAAATGGAACTCAAATTACATTTTTCTCCTCTTCCTCTTCCCCTTCCTCTTCCTCTTCCGCTGTTGTTTCTTTGTTCTATAAATTATTTTTTCCTTGTTTTGTTGATAGAGTGAATTCTTTTTTCTTTTGAGTCATACTTATATTACAGAAAGCTTGAAATGGACTTAAAGAATCCTCCTCATACTATTTCTTACTTTTCATATTCTTTCTTTGCTTTGTTGCTTTAGGTTGTGTTTGGATCATGCATTTAGATAGAAATTTTTAGAAACAAAAAGAAAAATGCAAGTGTGAGTGAACAAAATATAAGCTAAATTTTTTTTTTCCCATTTTCCTTGTACTTCTTTTTTTCATTTTCTGAATCTTTACCTAAATTTATAATCCGAACACAACTTTACTAAATTCCTTTTATTCACAAGTTGTACTTTATTATAGTGAGCACGCATTAGTAAAAGGAGAAAAATATTTAAATTTATAATCCAAACACAACCTTTCCTGAATTCATTTTATTCTCAAGTTATACTTTGTCAGAGTGAGTACACATTAATAAAGGGAGAAAAAAAAGAGCGACATCGTACTGAAACCTTGCTTCACCATTCTATCAAGTATTTAATTCTTTTTTTTTAATGCTATGTTTGGTTCATTGGAATGAGTTGAAATATAATGATTATTTCATCTATCAAAATATTTATTCTCACGTTTGGTTCACTAATGTTGTGTTTGGATAATAGATTTAATAGGATTTAAAAAAGGCAAAGAAAAAGGATTGAAGTGAGATTTTAGTGAAATTGTAAAAATTAAAATTTGATTTTGATAAAGTATAAGGGTGCTAATAAATCTACTACTATTATAAAAGTGTGAAAGATCTGTCACATTTTTTTTTTATTTTTAAATCCCAATTTTACCCTCTCAGATCTACTATATTTTCTAAGAGTTTGTTATATTTTCTACTTTTACTCTTCAAAATATTTTTATTACAATGAGTTATAATGGTGAGCAAGACGAAAAATGCCAAGATGGTGAAACAAAAATTACAGAAGATCTATTGCAACGTTTTTCCAAACAAAGTTAGACGAGCTGAAGTAGGAATTATCCTATTTATTGTGAAATTCAAGAAAAAAAAATATACCTCATGCACACATTTTAGTCAAATTACAAGAAAAAAAATCAAATGATGCCCAAACATTATCGCAACAACTCAATGATGCATAAAGTAATTATATCCAAAAAAAAAAAAAATCGATCAATTTTTGTCACATGCTGATTACTTACAAATGACATAATAAATTATGTAATTTGATAGTTTCATAAAAGTGACCCTGCAAACACTTATAAGCATGAATCTATAAATATCGTGAAAACAACTATGAAATTCCTATATTGATCGAAATATTAAGCTATAATATCATTCCGTTTTCTTAAATTCCATATTTCTACATTAATGAAAATATACTAATGACTAAGACTACGTTTTTCATCATGTAAGATATTCGTAGCACATGAAACGAGACTTAATAACTCCTAATGTATAAAAACATATTATATGTTGATATTAATGCATTCTTACACCAGTAGTATGCAAATAATATGCAATAATGGATTTAATGAATTTGTATTATTAGATAAACTATTAAAAAAAATTGTGTTATTGTGCAATTAATTTCATACATTCAATTGTATTACAGGTACAAATTATGAAAAATTGAAATGAGAAGTTGATAGAAAAAAATTTGTGTAATACTATATATTTAAAGTACCTGTTTATTGTTTATTATTTAAGATAAGATTGTGATATCAACAGTGTATTTATAAATTAATATTTATGTTTATAAAAAATTTCATTTATCATTTAAATTTTTCAGCCGAGTAAGTATTTATTTCTTACTTAGTTATATTTTGGATATAGATCAATTTACTCATACAAGTCTCCATAATTTGTATACGTATCACATACCAATTCAGGAGACACATATAATTACAGTATTAACAGTTGATGAAAAATTATGTGCCATGCGTAATGTATGTGCCCAACTACTAGTTGAAAAAAAATATTTCAAGTATTGTTCACATGACAAGTTTCATCAATAGGGTGACACTGCAATTCAACTTAAACTATAAGAGGTTAATTGTCACAATTAAAAATAAAAAGACTAAAGTGAGAGAATTAAGAGTACTATAATTAACCCATTTTCTTTTTCATAATGGCATGTTTTCGGGCTTGCCGAATTCTATGCAGAAGTTATGAGATTATTATTCAAAAAATAATGGGCAAATTACACTTTGCAGTTTAATACTTTATACTAAATTTTATTTTGCTTTATGATATTTTAATTGTTTCAACCAACTTTTATAACTTGAGTCAAATTACAATTAGATCCAATCAAATAATTTCCTTCCAAATATTGAGTACTTTATTTGTTCAAATTTCTTAAAAAGTGTAGCATTTTTCTATAAAAAATAATCTCAAACATATTTTTCATGGCAGCCACATTGACCATTTTTCCTTCACCTCCCTCACCCACATTGAAAAAGATACACACAAGACCTCAATGTGTGGTTCCAACCATGCACAATCCAATGGGGAGTCTTTCTGTCAAACCAAAATGAGCCATCAATAACCAAAGAAAAGTAATAAACTCACCACCTTTGTTGAGCTGCTGGGCATGAGCATTTCCTCCACAATGAGTTGCAGCATATGACAACAATTCCACCCACACTCTACTCATTATCTCCCATTTCCTCTTAATTCCTAACTTGTTCAGCTCCTTAGCTAGATTGCATCCATCAAACAAAACAGATTTGCATCCGCATTCTGCTACGTTACATTCTAATCCTAGAATCTGGCAGGCTGTGATCCTTTCTGGCATCAATTCAGATTGTCTACTTTGAAAGAATTTCTTGAAATTTTCAAATATGTTTGGGGGCTTCGAATTCATATGTGATTTCAAGACCTTTTTGGCTTTATCGTATGTGTGCTGAATTCTAATTTGGGCTATACCTTCCACCTCTGACATCATTGCAGGCTGCATGACAATAAGATACAACATATAATCTGACAAAATCTTACAAAATTCTCTATTTTGGCTATTTTTTTCTTCATCACTATCTTCACCTTTGTGATAACATATCTCAGTAGCAACGTGCCACATCAGAAGGCTATGATCATATTCGACTTCCTTTTTCACGCTGTTTACAATCGAGGGGTGAAGATCGTATTGTAAGAGAACCCAATTTCCCTTTGCTGAACATATCTCCTTGGAAAATTCCGGATCTTCAGATTGGAGAGCCTTGTTCTTTAGCTCCATAAAGATGAACTCCTTCAAATCATCGTTCACCAGTGAGGTTCTTTTGAACTGTATCTCATCAACGAAATCCTCGAGTCCAAAAAAGTCAACTACTTTTTCAAACCATTTGAACCGGTCATTGATGCAATAATTGATCAAACTGTGTTGCGAGACAAAGTTGGACTGCAAGCATCTTTCCCCAAATGAAAGTCTTTCTTTGATCACGAAAACGATATCTGCATCATTGGAATTATTGAGCGAAGCTATGGTGCGGTTAGAGAAGATAAGCTTAAGAAGTGAGACAATGTCCAAGCCAACAGCACCAATGAGAAGAGTGTAGGTGACAACAATGTCCACTAGGTGGAGTTGGTGTTTATGATGGGATGCAAAGAATGCAAAAGAAACCACTATCAAGACACAGCAAATGATGCGAAAAACGTACCCAATCTTACTATGCACCACAACCATCTTCGTGTAGAGCGCATCATACATGAAATTGAGCTCCACTTCCATTACTCTAAATGCGTCTTTACAAGTCATCTCAAGGAAGAACTTTCGACTCTTATGGCGCTCGGGGAAGGTAAATGTCAGAAAAACAATTAGTCTCTTGATCATTTGAAAAAACTTGTACCCATTTTTCACCACTTCAATGTCAGATAAAGGGGCAGATGTTAAGCTTTCTTCACCTAAGGTCTTCGATCCTTCCCCAAATGGAACCTTGTCCAACATTGATTTGACTTCCTCGATCAGTAAAGCATAATTTGGAAGCATAGAGTGCTTTAAATTACTCAAACATGCTAGATATAGAGCACGTGTCCGCTCAAAGTACTTAATAGTTCCAGCAAGAAACATGAAGATTGTTGGGATGAGAAATTGGTTAGGGACTGATTGCCAGAAGGCATAAACAACTGCAGAAAGCTGGATGAGAAAGCTGAACAAGTGCCGGAGCCAGAGTTCATTGTCTTCGAGTGAGAAAGCAGTAATGGTATCTGGGCCACCGAGATGTAGCAACAGAAATGGAGCCCAAAAAGCAGCAAGGTCATCGTGCACGCGGTACTTGTCACAGTCATTACCTTGGCCACTTGTGATGAGTCCAACTGCAAACGCCGCAACCCAGTCTGCGAGCAAATAAGCCCCCCATACCAACGAGGTTACAATTCTGTTTTTAGTACTTTTCCGCAATGGCGCAATGAAAATCAACAGAATTTGGAAGAAGAGACTGATAAGAACAGTGACACGGAGGTTCCATTCATCCCAAATCTTTATTGCCTTGTTTGTAATAGGGATTACCATGGTACTCATCTCCTGTTCAGTTGATCCTTATTAATTCAACCGGAAAAATAAGAAAAAGTCTACGCTCATAGAAAGTACCAGACTCAGAATACATAAATACGAATCAAAAAATTGTGGACAAATTACAATAATAAATGGCATTAATTCATCAAGAATAGAGATAGATAAATGGATATGGGAATCAAATTACCTTCTTCTCCTCCCCTTCTTCCTCCCCCTTCTCCTCCTTTCTCCTGAATTGTTGGTGTTTATTATATCTATATTTATAGTATTAACTACATTTGTTGGAGTTGGATTCCCTCCAATCCATAATTTAGACTGTAGGGTGTTGTCCGGGCCTGTGAGGCTTACCACGAGTCTTGTTTTAATTATCTAAACCATTCATTTTTAGAATTCTTTATGTATATCATCTATAAAATAAAATAAAAAATTATGTCAATCTGATAATCATAAGCTATTCTCCTTTCTTCTTTGCCTGTCATAATATTATTTCTTTGCTTTGTTGCTTGACAGAATTCTTCTATTCTAAGCTATACTTATTCTACTACACTAAGGGAGAAAAAGAAATATCCTACTATTATTTTATTTGCTCTTTCCTTGCTTTGTTGGTTGAGAGAATTCCTTTTATTCTCTGTTATAGAACTTATTCTATTAGTTATTGTTTGATTAGTAAGATTAATAATTGAAGAATTAACAATTTATGAGATTAGTGTAAGATTGATTATCCAACTAGATTAGTGAAATAAATAATTTTCTAATGTTCACATTTATTTTGTGATGGATATAGAAATATATAATCTAAATTATATGTTTGTTTTGAATTGCTAGTTATAGAACTAGAAAATTTGTCAATTTTATTAAATAGATTGTCCATCATAATCTAATCCAAACAATGAAATATAAGTTATATATTAATAATCTTAATCTTATACTATAATTCATCCAATCAAACAAGCCATAAGATAAAGCGGTAAAGTGAGAAAAAGAAGAGGGCATGCCATTGACAATTTTCAAATTATTATTATTATTATTATTATTATTTTCAAAATATTTTTCGTGATACAAAGCCTATTTCCTTCCCCTAATTGGTTCCTCTTACTCTAAAGGCCAGGTGATAGAGAAATAATTCAATAGCTTTGAAGGAAAGTTAGTGAAAGTGGAAGTAGAAGTGCAATTGAGTATATGTGCCTGTCATTATGCATTACACTTTTTGACCTCAAAATATAAAGTTATTCTTCTTCTACCTCTTTCAATTGTGACCACTTTTCCACAGTGGCAAACATGTTTCATGATAAAGTTACAAGGAGAAATTGTAAATCAGAGGAATGTTATCAAAATAATTGTAAATTATGAAAAATTTTATCATTTTAATTATTAAAATTGATAACGTATTCTACTAATTTGCAATTATTTTGAGAAGATCACACTAAAATGCAATTTTTTCAAGTTGTAACAGTCTACGTTGATGCTTTTTAAGGTAAAGTTTGGTTCCACAATTAAAATAGATTGGAATGATTATTTTTTAGCAATGCTATCTTTCAGGGAAAAAATTTGAGGAAGTTGGTTATGAAGATTCTCTACTCCTGAATTAGTTTTTGATATTTTATCATATGTTATGCAATCACATGCACTAAATTACAACCTATCAATCATAGATCACTATAAGACAGCTAAATTTATATTATTTGTTCAAAATTAAAGCATACTTACATTAATGTTTGGTCTAACTATCAAATTAATTTAAATAACTTAACACACTAGATTATTTCTAAAAGTTTCTTGAAACTTTTCATGATTATTTATGAAATGATTATTCTCTTGCGATGGTGAATGGTATTCTATTTACAATTCTATTAACTTTCTAATAAATCAAGCGTAAAAATGAACATTTTGATGGAATAATCTTTTCATTCTAATGAACCAAACAAACTTAGAGCATCTTTATTCTTCAATGTTGAATTATCAAAGGCTTCATTTGGGATATGAATTGGTTTTTTGGCTATTTTAGTCTGGGGTTAAAAAGTTTTGTTTGGAGTAAGCTTTTTTACTTTTTTTAACTTTTGTGAGAGAAAAAATGAAATGATTATGATTTAGATGTGATGTTTTGTCTTATTAGACTAAAAAGTTTATTTTGTCTTTTTATGACTATTTTAACCCAAACTCTATATGCCAAACAAAGCCAAAATAGCGTGTAGGATTAAATATTTGAAGTTTCTATAATATGCATTTTGTGTTATTTGATCCATGATGTGTATTTTCATATTTCATTGTATAGCAATGGAATAAGTTTGTTCAAATATCTTGTAAAGTGCTATAACTAATAATCTTAAACATATTTTTCTTGGCTGCCACATTGACCCTTTTGTCCTGCCTCTCTCACCCACAATGAAAAAGATACACACAAGGGCTCAATGTGTGGTTCCAACCATGCACAATTCAATTGGGAGTCTTTCTGTCAGACAAAAATGAGCCATCGATAACCAAACAAAAGTAATAAACTCACCACCTTTGTTGAGTTGTTGGGTGTAAAGCCCCAAATTTTTAACCCGAATGATAATATAACAATCATGGTTCTTTTAAGGAAAGCCAAATATAAATCTCCAAACTTACATTACATGATACAATAGTTCATGCAATAATACATTAATCCAACAACAAGTAAATAAACAAATAAATACCCCCAAGGGGTTTACAAGTTTCCAAGGCTTGAGACTAGTTACACAAAACGGTTATTCAAACCCACACACATACAGCCCTTAGCTTACACACAGAGTCACAACAAAATGAGAGTCTCGTACTCTCAACACACATTTCCTTGCCTCTAGTTAGGCGACATTACCACATCTTTTCTTGCACAAAAATCCTGTAGGGGTGAGCATAACGCCCAGTAGGAAATCCTTAACAAAATATATACATTTTATACAAGTCTCAAAAGATGAAATGCACAAGCCATGCTATGCCATTTTTAAAGAAAATCACATCTTCATCTTTGAAAACCATCATGCTCAATGATGTCATACAATTTCAATTCTTCAAAACTTAACAATTCATGTCAAGAGCTGTAAATACGACTCTGGTAATCCCTAGGTTGGTGTCTGCAAGTAAACTATACAAGTACTATCAATTTGTCATTTTTACTAACATTGACTGGAAGGCTCGACACCTATAATCTGTCATTTTTACCAGTATTAACTGGAAGGCTCGAACCTATTCAATTTCATCTACACCACCTGTCAAGACTTACCACCGTATTTACTCAAAAATCAATTCATGGAAACTTGTTTCTCAACATTCTTTTCTCAATGCAAGTTTTCAAATCAACTTTCAAAGTTTAATGTAATCAAATGAATTGATATGCTAATAACACAAGATGAATATAAATACTTTTATTCTAATTCATCATCCAAGGAATAACACAATTCTCTTTTCTCAAGTATACTCAACAATTAGTCATTTCAAGACTATTTCAACGTTTTGAACAATAATTTCCAAAATGAACAACAATTCTCATATTCCTTGAAATTCATCATTTATATAAATATAAATAAAAATTTTTCCAAACATCCATTTATTTTGACGCACAAAATAAATATAACAATATCATTCATGGATTTTCAGTCTCTTTAAAAAAAAATTCCCAAATTCTAGGTTTTCTCACCAAAACTATACAACTCAAATCTTTTGAAAGAAAACTTTCCAAAATCATATTTTCTTCAATCAACGAAGATCCAAACCCATAAGATCATTTTAAAAGAACAAGAAACAAACCCACTTTCAAAATCGCTCAAGTTCTTGAATTAACAATGAATTTTTAAAGCTATCGAATGATGATTTTGAAAATCATCTAGATCTTGCAAATATATATATATATATATATAACTCTAGAAAAATCCCTACATCAAGTTTTAAAGAAGAAATGAGATGAAACCCCCAAAGTCAACGGTGTCGAAACTCGATCTTCACCTCACACAACGAAACCCTCGAGAAGTTAACCAACTTTGATGAAGAACCTATGGCAGAACTCTAACGGATCTTGAGAAATCAAGGTTTTGATCCAATTTGGAATAGGGAAATGTAGGGAGAAGGGAGAGGAAATGTTTTTAGAGAGAGAGATATACAAAAGTGATCTGAAATATCAGATTCGCGAACTGATATAACATGGTCCGCTCGAGCGTAAAAAGCCCCAATCGAGCGTCGAATACACTTTCTCAGTACTTTTGCAGACAGGTCAAACTTCTGGAACCAAACATTCTTTGCTCGAGCGCATAACCGGCCGTTCGAGCGGACAAACAACTTCGAATGCATTTTGCATTTTTCATTTTTGCTTCTCAACCCCGCTAGGTAGTTGCCCTCCAACCCACCAAGGGACGCTGCCCCCTCGACCCCCGCAAGCTGACTGGGCAGCTCGATCCCCGACTTGCCCAATCGAAGTGGCAAAACATGAAAGAAAGGTCGAAACCGAGATCGCTACACTGGGCATGACCATTTCCTCCACAATGAGTTGCAACATATGACAACAATTCCACCCACAATCTGCTCATTATCTCCCATCTCCTCTTAATTAAAATAAAATAAAATAAAGAATTGATCTAAAATATAAAATATAATTAAGAATTAATTTAAAATATAATAAAATAAAATATAAAATAAACAATAATTAAGAATTGATCTAAAATGTAATTAAATTAAAATTAGATTAAAAAGTTAGTAATTACAATAAATAGTTAAATATTTAGAATTAATTGTGATCTAAAATATAATTAAAATAAAAATTAAAGAATTACAATAAATAATTAAGAATTTATAATTAATTGTGATTTAATTGAATTAATACTACACATTATAAATTATGTGTATGAGAGATGAGAGAGAAAGAAAAAAAATAAAAATAAAAAAAGGTTTGAGGGTATTATAATCATTTCACATCTATACTTAACGTTATTAATAGTTACATTTTAGTCTAAAACTATATGGGGGGCATATGGCTATTTTTAAAAGACAAGGGAGTAAAGTACTATCAAGTCATACCACAGGAAGATAAAATGAATTTTGCCCATAAAACTTTAGTCTGAAAAATATTTTTCGCCATTTGAAAATAAAAAACAATTTTTATTTAAATTGGCATTTTTTTGTTTAACCATGGAAACATTTTCTGTTGATTTTTGTTTTGTTGTACCAAATGTCAGAAAATATAAAATTTTTTTTTTTGAAAATATTTTTCATCTAAACAACCAGATGGCAAAAGACAAATTTAGATTTGGAGAGGCATGGGACGTTAGTTTTGAATCATGGGTTTGTAGTGGGGAAGAAGAAGACAAAA